CAGGTGTCAGCAGAGGGCAGTCCTTGAGGGGTGGCTCACTCTCGGCTGCTATGTTTAAGTTCCCAGCTGAGGTTGCCCATCACTTTCAATTATTATTATGATTTTTGTGAGTGGTGATGTGTGTTTACTTGGTCTCCTGGCCAGTCCCATGCTGCTTCCATTCATTTGTATCCCACCCCAGAAGCGGGGAGCCTGGGGGATGGGAGCTGAACTTATCCGTTCAGTTGTGGCTGGAGCTGTTCTGGTTCAGTTCCAAGTCTAGGATCAAACTGGTTTGTTAGCTTCCAACCAGCTGAAACTAGTTCGCTTGGAGAAAACAGAAGTGGAAGAAACCAAGACTACAGGGGGAGCTAAATCCTTCCCTGGGTATCTTCCTGTCAGTCTCAGCAGCATGCCAATGACTGATTCCTACACCTGGCAGAAATGATGGTTCCCCTGAAAATCCTCGGCTGAGCACATGCAACCCTACAGTGAAATGCCCTACTGCCGCTCCTGGGCAAAAGCTGAGGCCAACAACATGCAGTGAGAAAGCAAAAGGGAACAACGGCAGGCCCAGCCCGCCTCCTGCTGCTGGACATCCACGAGCAGTCTGCCCGGTCTCCTGCCCAAGCAGGGATTGAGTGTCTTCTGTTCTCCTGTGGCTAGGATCAGTTGGCAGCTGACCAGCAAGAGACAAATCCTTATACCTGAACACTAATCACAGTTTCAAACTTGCCATCAACTCCTGGCCAAAGAGCAGGGCCCAGCCAGGCGCCGAAGGGAGCCCCATTGCCCCACACACACACGCTCCCTCCTCGCCCTTCTGTGCTGCCCACCCTACTTGGTGCACCACAGAAACTGAGCTGCGATCTCACGAGCGTGTCCTGAGTAACAGGGTGAAACACAGTGTGTCCTCGGGTATGGCAACTGCTACCCACCTTCACCCTCCTTGGGTCAGGGGACACCCCACCTTGTGCCATGGTCATTTGCACCCTCAGAGTGAGCACACAGCTTGCGTCCGCACACCCAGCAGTGCCCGCCTGCTCTGTGGGGCCAGCAGGCGCACAGCCATGGAGAGGAGAACAACGATGAAATAAGACATAGGCCCCTCTAGCTTGCTACTTAGCTGTACATTGCAAGGAACAAATGCACAAGTTGAAGTGACAGGAGTAGGGACATCAAGTAGCTTTCGGAGGATGACAAAAAAAGGAATCTAAAAATTGAGCACCAGAGACTCACAGTCCCAAGGGAGCACGGGCTGTATCTAACACAAGCTATTGTTCTGCTGCACAGTTCATTTCAGGACAGTGCTCACCCCTGCAGTGCCATCCTGCAGCCTGAGGCTGCTCTGGATTCAGGCACACTGCTCCTTGGGACGAATCCAGGTCCCATTGCTCATATAGGTTCTGTGTCCCACTGCTTGAACCTTCTGAGCTTACAGCTCGCCACAGACCTGTCACCGCTCTGCGACATGTGGGGCATTTGTGCAGGAGCCCCAGTTTATCAGTGTCTCACACACAGCGCTTACAGAGTCAGCAGGCCTGGACCTCCTGCCTCACCTGGAGCCCAGCCCCACTCAGGCACCCAGCCCACGGCCACAGGTCAGCCCCAGCAGCACTGCCTGGACAGTGCCAGCAGAGCTGCAGGAAGGCACCACTCTGCAAGTGCAACTGATAGCAGCAGGTCACATTCCGAGCAACACCAACATCTTGTAAAGCATTTCATTAAATGTAAAACGCAAAGCACTTTGCTGCCTGAGCACAGCCTTCTCTCCAAACGTGTTATTACCACTCTAAAATCCAAGGGAAAGCCATTTAAGCTTAGCAGCAGCATCTTCTTAATTGCACTCATCTTTGAGGAATCCAGAAGCAGAACAAACACATTGCAGAGCTGTCTCACAGAGCATCAGTGCCCCAAAATCATCAGTAGCAGATCAGCATGCTGCCTGTGGCTGCACAAGGTGCTGCAAGCATGCTTAATTCACTCATTTCCTGAGCATCTTTTCAGCAGCATAACTACCAACACACACACGTGCACCACTAACGAGAAACAAATTCCTGACTTACCTTTTAAGCAGCCAGGAGCACCAAGCCCTCCAAAACCTCCTGCGGACGAGTGGACAGAGTTGTACCTTATTACTCACAGCAGGAGTTATATAACTGGCACCATTTCTGTAGGCAATGAGTGTGCACCCGTTGCACTTCCACTTGCAGATAATGTGCGCTCCCCATCCCACACAGACACATCTTCTCCTCGGCTGCCAGGGGCGAGGCGAGGTGGGCTCCAGGCTGCCAGCAAAAGGCAACACTCCCAGATCAAAGGAAGTTCAAAAGGTCCCTGACATTTATTAAGAGAGATCGCTACTATGAAAGGATGCAGTGCAATAGTGTAATGCTCCTTCGGCTGCTGAAAGCAGCTTGGCCTAGATTTTCCTGTACTGTTTGATGTGACCATTCATGCAAACAAGAGTAAAACTTTCTATTTGCTTTTAATTAAGCACAGAACACTTGGAAAAAGCAACGTGCATGGCAGCCCTTTTCCTGCCGTCATCTGGGTCTTCTGGGCTGCCGTCAGACTGAGACACGCAGGAGGCAGCCCCATTGATCTGACTATTATTAGTGGCAGACGACATGTCAGTGGGAGAAAGGACAAAAGCTGTGCACTGCACTAGGCACAGGAAAACAGATTGTTTTACCAAAGGCTCATTTGGTGTTTTAGCAAAGGAAGAAAAAAAAAAAAAAGAAACGCTTGATAGCAGAAAAGCACACAGCATTTTAATCTGGGAAAAAAAGGCAGTGAATAAGATTACTGCCTTGGCTCTGTGCTCACAGACAAAACCCCAGCGGCACCCCACCTTCTGGAAGGCAGGGAACAGGTCCTGCGTTTCAAGTCTCGTCTTAAAGAACCCTCGCATCGCTACTTATCGTTGCATACGTCCCTGCATCTGTGGACTGCTGGCGGGTGCAGCACAGCGCCCGCTGACATCAAGGGGCTGCAGCTTTGGTGCAGGCAGCAAACTCTTACGTAAGCCATAATCCTCTCACAGACTCCTTCAGCGACTATAAGACCTGTGCCATGGGCGCCTGCTGGCATCCCTGTGACCTTTAATCAGTTTGCAAATGGTGAGACTGTGGCTGCGAGGCGATCCCCCACCACCAGAGCTGTGCTTGCCACTGCCTCGCTGGGTTTCAGAGCACGGGGCACCACTGCCGTTCTGCTGCCGGGCAGGGCTGGTGCTGCTGCCCTCTGTGCTGATGGAATTGTGGGGATTAATCTCCCGCTGAGTTCACTGAGGCTAACGATAATCAAGTTAAATTTACACGATATGATCAGAGTTTAATTAGGTACTGTTACACAACCCCTATTAATTACACCGCTAATACCCTTACAAAATGCAGATGGGGGGGGCTTGGCTGATTTCAGGAAAGAGCCACACCGAAAGGCTCTGAGCACATCTTTCCTTAACTGCTTGCCTTGCCAGTTCTTAAGATGAAACAAAAAGCTGAATAGCTGTAATCCCACAAAATGTCAATCTAGAAGATTAAAGACCTCCTGCATGCTTCACAATCACCTTGAGTTTACACCAAAAATCAAGAAAGCCACTTCAAATCCTCCAAAATCAGAATCACTGTCAGCTTGCTCCGCTCAAAGTCCTACCTGGGAAAGCTCAAGGTGACAGAAGTCATCTACTTCACATCGGGATATTAATTCAGCTGAAACCAAGGCTGCTCTTGGACACAGACACCTGGATGAGCTTCCTACATCTCCATTCCCTCTCTGCTCAGCATATCCCAGGAGAAGCGTTGGCACTGTGCCACTGCACTGTTGCCTATTTAATTAAAATCCCAAGAAGTACAAAGTGCATTTCTTTCTTCTCCCTTTTTCCTCAGAGAGCAGCAAGCTCCCCAAGCTACTATTCCTCAGCATCTCATCTTTGCACAAACCACAAGCAAAAGCAGCACCGTGTTCTGGTAAGTTGTACCAGATCATGACTACCCAGCCCCACCAGCTACATAACTATCCTATTTTTCCCATAAATGTTAAAGCAGTCTGTCACAAAAACAGTTGAAGCATTGCTGCACGGGATCCAAGAGAAGAGTGTTCTGTTCATGAATGCTCTCTGGTTCCCATCCTACCACCCAAGGCTGATGAATTGCACCTGGAGAAGTTTCACATTGCCATATGGGAATGCCATAGCACTCTCTGAGGTCTCTACAGAGCACCCCTTCTTCCTTCAGAAGTCTTTCACTGTGGAAAAGCAGTGACAGCCAATCTCACACAGGGGTGAGAAGCAGCTATCAGTGGGACAAGACATCCTCCCTGGCACAGCCCAGTGCATGGGGCTGCACAACATTCCCTTGTGATTCTCTAGCAATATTATACTTGGCCTTCATTCATGCTTTCCTCAGATGCTTCAGTCCATGTTTTAGTGGGAAATAATGGTGGTAGGTGGGACTGGATGATCTTGGAGGCCTTTTCCAACCTTGGTGATAGTATGACCTCTGTCTTGTACAGGGGCTGGCTACAATCCTAGCTGGGACCGCAACATCCCACCCTCCCCACCCCAAAGGGATGCCTTGTGCATCCCCATACCCTTAAACTCAGGTGCTCTGAAAGGAGACAGCAGGTTTTGGTCAAGACCTTCAACTCTTTATCCACCTTTAAGGCACTTTTTGGTCCCTTTCTGCTGAGAAGAGCAGCAGTGACATACTAACAAAAGTACAGAAATGCTCCTGAAATTAAGCTTTGATTCAGGAAACAAAGCTGCTCAGCCCACTCTGCTCTTGCTAATGTACTGACCTCGTTTTGTCAAGTCTGTTTTTCTCTTTGTCTTTGATGCCATTTTGGAAGGCACGTCATGAGATTTTCATGGAGGCATCGCCTCAAAGTTGGACTAGAACAAAGTCAGTCACAATACCATTTAAATGAATGGGAGCATGATTCTGCTGTAAAGGATAATACTATTTAGAGTTTCAGTGCACTTATTTCTGAAGTTTATTAACCACTTTCATCACTCCAACTACACTGTAATCCATTTATATTTTAATTTAACAAGTTATGAGAATTATCAGCTTATAATGAATACACTCATCCCCATCAGCATTTGAAGAGTCCCTCCACTTTGCAGAGATCTTAATGAGCACACGTACAAATAAACAAGGAAAGTAATAGCAATTATGTGGAACACCAAACTGCAAAATAGGCACTGCAGGAGGTACTTTCTGGGCACGTGTATCATCTTCATTACACTGTACTTTTAAATAACTTATAGTATAAGAGAGGGTTTGAAAATCATATTAATTGGTTTACCTTGTGCTTACTTTTGGAATGATTTACAACCTTCAGTCCATGCACAGTCAGTAGACCACTGGTGAAACTCTAAGGAAAGCTGTTGATACCAGCTAACAGGAATACATCTGGGAAAAACGACCTACTGCACACTTAGGTCTGAACCTGACACTGAAGCATACACGAAACCATGCTCACTGGAGACCACTCTCCGTTTGCAAGAGAATGCTCAAATCTCTCGACCTATCAGCCTGCAGTCAACTGCAATGTTTCTCCACATGCTGTCATCTTCAAAGGAGAGGAGAAACAGCTTCATCATCTATTCACAGAGCTGCACCACTCTTTTTCAGAAGCGTCTCACCCAAGCTTCTGGTGCCTGCTCTCCTCACAACCAAACTCCAAACTGAACCTGGAAGCTATGAACATGAATCACCCATGAGAGCATCCAGTCATTGAACTTCAGCATACAATTCAGCTTCCACTGCTGACATATTGGAATCTCTTCTTCCTCCCACAAGCTGCTCTGCCTAAAGTAATTGACAGACCCCATCAATCACTTGCACTTCTGCAATTTCTTCTATTGAGAATGCCATTCACATAAGGGTGTTTGCTGTGGAGAGCTCAAGGAAAGTAAAAGTGGTGCAAAACAGGAATCTTTTAACAGGAATCTGCAGTCTGGCCTTAGCTGGAGGTATGCAGAAAGACACCGGTAGCTCTGGACAATGGAGAATATGGATACGTCTCTGTCTCTCGTTAACTAACAAGGATTGGCAAAACACTCTAAAAGCATAAAGCACTGGAAAAAGGACTTTGAAATGATTATAGGCTTCAGTAAATGCTAAAACTCCTGGGAGCAGAAGAAAGGAGAAAACTCCTTACAGTGGCAAGTAAAGAGATGGATTATTTATCTTAATGCTAGCAATCTAATGAATACATAAAAAAAGACAGTACAAGAGAAGCCATACTCAACTCATTGAATGCTCCCACTTCCCCAGGGCACAGCACTGCTTAGTGGGTAGCCTGAAAATTGATGTTAAAGTAATGTGTAAAGTAAATTGATGTTAAAGAACTGCGCACATGCACAGTGGTAGGGAAAGTCAGCTTTGTAGTTATTTCTTGCCCTTCCAAGTGAGCTGCAGCTGGAACTAGAGCTGCTGGCTCACAGCACACCTGCAATTGCAGAACTGTAGGACCATACTCTACTTAGCTTTAAACAAGCCTGGCTTCATTAGTGTGGGAGTCAGCTCAAAGTTGGGCATCTCATAGCACAGGGCTTCAGCAGCAACGCTGACTTAAAGTACTCCCATCCACTTCTGTCCTCCATGCTCCCTCCCAGGTCCCATCAGTACGACTATTTGCAGCACTGTTCCCATCAGAACAGTAGCAGATGACTTTTGTCCTAAATCAGCAGAGCATCTCATACACCCTGATACTCTCTACCTACAGGATTAACAGACCAAAGGCAAAGAAGTGAGCTCTCTTTCTTCTGCTACTTATTTACGTATCAGAGCCACAGGCCTTCTGGCATCACCATGAAGAGTTATAAGCACACCAGACTAGGCCTAGTGTAAACTCGAGTTAACAAATTAAATGTAATGCTGTTTTCTTCATTCAGGGAACAAACTTTGAAAAGGTCCACAATGCCTCAAAATGCAGTTTTTCTCTGGCAAGGAGTGGTCGTCATCTTGTGAACTCAACATTCAAACAAGCTCCCTGGTGAAGTAAGCATAGGCTGCCTTTTAATACAAACATAAAACTCACATTTAACTTATTAGCTGGGGGAGGAATACAGATGAGGGCTGGATGAATCTAGTGACTCATCATTCCTGTAAGATGAAAAGCAAGCTTGTCTCAAAAAAATCAATTCATTTGCTTTCATTGTGTATTGCAGATAGAAGTGCATAAATAATAAAAAGATTAATAAAAACACTTCCACCAATTGTTCTAGACAAATGAAAAAGCATTTGGATTATAAAAGAATGTTCTTTAAATACAGAAAAATAAAACATTTCAAATGGTACAGTGTTTTGTGAAAGGCTGAAGACGGAGATAAATGCAGATTAGTCATGCCTGAATGCAGCTCCCCAAACCAAGTGCTTAGAGCTAAGATAAAGACACGTACATACCCAAAGGCATACGTGAAAAAATGTCTATACATTAGCTTTATTCTTTGATCTTTTACTCTGTTTCTTTTTTTCCAGCCTTCTCCCACGTACCACCATATGCATACTCTGCATCCTGACCACAGAACTCATTCCTAGCTAAATTCTGTGGGTAAATGAAGAGATGAAAAGCAAAGCAGGGCAAAAAATAACATTCATACTATTCAAAGAATCATGGAAATAAGCAAGATGCAGCATCATCCTCCAAGAGTGTGCAAACTCCACCTAGCTTACTGCTGGAAGATTTTAGGAGGAGCTGGGAGGAAAGCACCAGACAGAAAAGGTGTGCAAGAAGCCCAGCAAAGCCTAAAGCCAGCTGATAAAAGGCAAAAACCCACTGAGACAGATGTCACTGAATACTCAGAACCCATAAAAAAGGAAAGCATGCACTACAGCCACCTGCACACTGTGAAGAAAATATCAGACTACACAAGTCAGACGGTAATATTCCTACGTTCACTGATTCAAGACATGACCAGAAAAATCCCTACAATCACTAGCACTCACAATTCTGAAAACACACAGACTTGAAAGCCCTATGCCCTGCAAAGCTCCATGCGATCTTAGCTAGGCATCACAACAGATGTTGTGGACAGAAAATAACCATCAAGTGCTTCAGGTGGCAGCAAATAGCTAGAGCAGGTAAAGAGTAAGAAGTGCTAAAAAAGTGTGAGGAACTTCCTGCTGCTTGCAGAAGTGTAATGGGTGGAAAATCAATGCTGGCTAAATATAAAGGAACTGGCTTAGCGTGTAACAGATCAGTCAGTTATTATTGTGATGAGTGGAGCTATTATAATTTTATTTCAATCATAAAAACCAAGTAAAGATCCAGTCTGTGGTTAGTAAAACCAAGAGCTGTGAAACAGCTGCTACTCAAGATTACTTGTAACATTTTTGGAACCATTAAATAGGAAAGCAAGCAGTACACACAAAGCACAACATTTGATAGCCACACAGCAAGCCCTGGGCTGCTGCAGAACCCCTCATCTCATCTACAGCCAGTCCACATTTAAACACAGCTGCACCTAACACACAACAGACATCAAAACAGTTGGAACACTCAGATCATCAGAAGCACCTCTGGCTTGGATTTTTGGGTGAGAGTATGCATTACATGGAGAGAAAAAAAACAATACTGTACTGAGGATGTAACGAAAATGTCTGAAGGAAAGCACACAAGTTGAGAGAAACTGCATCATGAGGACAAAGAGCAGCAGTTATTAAACAGCTCCTCAGTGGTGCTGCAACACGAACCCACACCCACAGCAGTTCTCCTTCCTTAACTTTCACTGCTGTTACCCTCACTCATAAATCACTCTTCAATTAAAAAGAGTTTTAATTAATAACACATATCAGGCATCTCAGCCATGGGGCTATTTGCACTAAAACTATTCTACAGTGTCACGTGCCAACCCTAAGCACCACCAGCTTTTTTTCCAGGCTCGTGAGGAGTTTGTACTATTTTAAATTCACAGCAGACAGCATTCAGCTGATCGCTCCAAGAAACACTGGGCATCCACATGTTCTCATTGACAGCAAGGACATGCCAGCTACCAGCCTGCAGGACAAAGACAGTGTCTGAAACACAAGAGAAAACCCACACCAAAAAAGCTCAGCCCTGGACATTCACCGGTCAGTCAACAAGTGACTCGACTTTCCAGGCTCTTCTCCTCAGCCATCCTCCACCACAAGACTTCACAGTCAATATCCCTGTCTTCCAGAAACGGGAACGCCATGGATTCTGCCCCTTGTTTTCAGAATACAAACTGGGAGACTAGCACTCCAAAAAAGCTGCCTTCTAGCAAAATTCCCATTTACCTTCCCCATATTTTTTCATGCCATCTTAAAGGGCACTGACATCCCAATAGTTTACCTCTGTACAATCTCTTAAACCATAACTCATAAGCAGCATTACACAGCACTGTAATTCATCCCTCCTAACAAAGAAATTCAAGGCGCATCCCACCATCTCAGAAACTGACACTCTAGCATACACCTTCAAATATGAAAATCACTGTGGGGGCCCCAAGCTACATAGCATTTCCTTGTATCCTTTCAAGATCAACTGAGCCCTCCCTTTGCAGGGAAATATCAAGTACCATTTCCTGTGAACTTTAAACAAGCAGCTTTTGTCTCCCTTAGAGTAAGAGTTGATCAGATCTAATGAACAGTAAAGGCAGTTAGTCTGTGTTTAAGAAATATTTACACTCCAAGGGCTTGACCCACCCCTAAGAGATGAGTCAGAGCTAGTAACAATGCTTGTTGTGTAACAGAAAGCTGAACAAATGTGCCCCACATTTGCACAAAAGGAGATGCAAAGCTGTCAACCTACAAATAACTTCAATTGAAAGTTAAAACCAGAACTGGCTTTGTATTATGATCTACATTCAATATTTCAGATCAATGATTCTGCATAATCCCCCAGAGAACAACAGGATAAACACTTCTGAACAAGAACATATGGTGCCCAAGTCCCCATGCAGCAAGCTGTGCCAGCACATCCCAGCCCTCACCCTGCCCCAAGCCACTCATTGGCTTTCACAGGCCCTTTCCTCCCCTTGCTCCATGGGCAACAACCTACCTCAATTTCCATCACACCCACATAGTGTTCCTTCACAATAATACATAGATAGCTTAGTTCTTCTCTATTTTAGAGTCCCTGTCCTTTACTCACCTGAGCCAATACCAACAACACCCGTCAGCAGGCTGTGAGTACATCCCATCCAATCGTGTGGGCCATGAAAAGCCTAAGCGTACTTTATTTAAGTACAATAACTCTGCAGCTTTTTAAAAACCATCACAATTGCAGTAACAAATGTTTTTCTGCTAACCACTAAGTGAGAATATAATTTTCCAGCAAGCACAACTCCCCCCACCATGGGAATCCAATAGAAAAGCCTGCCATCTAGTCTGTCATGCTGCTAATACAGCGTAACAAAACCACATATTTAAATCTGTATCAATTTGATAGTGTCCAAAGAATAAAATTGTACAAATTACAGAGGAGGTTGTTTAAGCAGTGTATTATTATGTCCTCCCTCATACAGAAAAAAAAGTGGTATTTTGCTTTCTATATACTGTAAAGACTGCCTGAAGTGTGTGTGTTAGTGTGACAAGCAACTCCCATTAACAATATGATCATCAACATCACCACCTTCTTAGCCAGCTGTTCACAGATGAATTAAATCAGGTATTATTAACCATAAACCAAAGTCACCACCTGCATACTGGACAGGCTGGATATCCACCAGTGTTTTGCAGACAAAAAAAAATGGGAAATACTAAAAAGTAAAGAAAGTTAAACTAATTTTGAGAAGCTACTGATTTTCCAGTCCTCAATTCCACCCCACCTCCCTCCATTATTCTCACTATTTATAATCTTAGGAAAACATTTCATTAAATTTCTGGTACAATCTCAGTTTTAAAATATCCACTTACAATCACTTATTTTACCTAAACTAGCTGACAGTAAACCTACATAAACACATGATGGACCACTACTAAAAAAAAAACATTCAAGTACTGAAAGGGTTGTACAGGCCACATCTCCCAGTTTTGTCTTTTTAAGAGCAGTTGTTTCAAATCCATTCTCAGTAATATAATGAACTTAGAGCATCACTTTAAAAGTACCACATCATTACAAATTTTACACTGCTCTTTTATAGAAAATAAAAGCAATGCAACAAAATATGGAAACTGATCACAGTTGTGGAGTAATCAAAACATAAACAATCAAAAATCTCAATGATTATTACACAATAAAAATGTAACTCATTAGTTAAGTTAGCCTAGGCACTAACAAGGACATGAGGAAATACAAACAATAAAAAAAAACTGCAATCAACCTCTCGAAATATAATAAATCTTGGCAAGTTTAAGGCACAGCACGGCTCCCAGCAGAGTATCTATTCCATGCAGATTGTCCATTATACGACTGTAGTTTCTGTTCTTCGAGCTCCCAAGTCACAGTGTAATTCCAGCACTTGACTGCTCACATTGCAGCACTTACCTTAGTGGTTGTTTCAACTTCCAAGCACAGGCAAGGTAAAACCCAGGGGTATTTGACTGTCCAGAAACTCACAAATTCTCTCTTTTCTCAGGGAGAACATTTCTGATCAAAACATTATCTTCAAAGAGAAAAGATCTTACTATGTCCAGCTGCTGAGACATTAGGATTTCTATGCATAAATCAAGCCTCTTAGATTTTTGTTATTAAGCTGTTTCCTTACTATTCCTAGGAAGTTAACCTAGCATCTAAGAATTCTGCCGTGTGAAGTAAAACAGATAGAGCACTAGACCCAGGCAATAAAGCACAACCATCATTTTCACATCCATAAGCCATTATAAATTAACACAGCTACTGAACAATGCCACAGCTGATCTACTTGTAAGTTGCAGTATTCACGAGCATTATTAAAGATATTATTCAAAATGTTCAGCACACGCATTTATTTAGTGCATCGTGTATTGCAGAGTAGTTTCTTATTAAAGTAAAGTACTTGTTCTACAACGTGCATGTTCCACACACTGGAGAACAGGGACCCAACATGCCATAATACAAACTACATTTGTATTTCAGTGCTATGAGATGTTAACTTTTCTCATCCATAATCAGTTAATGTAAAAGTGATTTGTATTAGCCTTACACTCCTGTGCAGGTTTCATTGCAAATGCTTAACTATGTCCTAGCACACAGTGTGTTTGTTTGCACACACAGGCTGAGGAGAGGAATGAGTTCTGGGAACACTACTTTGCATGGATACCTAATTTTTGTTTCATTGGGTACATTTTACAAAAGACAAGTATAACAACAAAATCATTCCAAGTCCTATATTAAGCAAAACACTTCAAAAATACTCAACTAATATAACAAAGTTCAAATTAACAGAAAGACCTGAAGTACAAGAACTTAAAAGCAAACAGCTTTAGAAAAAGTTCTGTGCACTGCTGGAACTGAGGGGAGAAGTTTTGTCTACATACTAAATAGATTGCTAACATCAGCTCAACAGAGAAGTGAAATTTGGGCTGTTATTCTACAACACAAAAGTGTCACTATGGTTGTACTATGGTGAGTGTTCAGACACAGCTGAGGAAGAAAAAGAGCTCAACATATTGTATCATTTCACAGTATACAGTTTCATACACATGAAGAGAAGCAAAGTTCCCATAACATGATCATTGTGTTCTGCTTCATAAAGGACAACATTTGCAAACAGCTTGTTTTCTCCCTTATATCTCACTTGTTCCTCCACTGCTCATTAGTGCAGGTTATAGCTGTTACTGCTTAGTTCACCACAGGCAATGCAGTTGCATCCTTCAGCAATTATCAAGTACATACATAGAAGGACATAAATTGTGCCGCTACACCATTTCTTTTGCTTCATTGAGATTTAAGTGTAGGAGAACAAAAAGACAAGCACTGCACTAATGAGACAAATGCTCTCAAAGCAAAAGAAAAGGAAATTTGAAATTAAATTTTATACCATAACAAAAATCACAACTGAAGATGAGGAAAGGTGGGTATCCCACATTAGGAAGGCATCCCACGATCTCCTAAGTAACAAGTTCTAATTTTTAAATTATACAACCTCCCCAAGGAATAATTCCACCTCATAGCAGAGGAAGCTTGCCCAATGTTTTGGACTCAAACTGTAACTGCAGGATAAGGTCACTAAACACATTTACCTCATGTTGCTTTTAAAACAACCTATTCATCCTACTCGAGTAACTGAACTGAAATGTCCTGAAAAAATGAATTACTGAAGTCAGAAAGCAACATTTGGTTTTAATAGGAAGGTCAGAATACTTCAGAGGATGCTCCTTAATGAGATTTTCAGATACCACCCACAACTTTTTCTGACAGCTTTCAAATGCTACAGGTACAAAGCCTCAGCCTAGCACACTGCCGTAAAGAGCTGCCAGTTTGGGCCAAGGCCTTTATTCCACTTCTTCCAACAAAGTAAGTTATACTTGTAGTAACCTGATGAATTAGCATAAGAGAATGCAGATCTGGACTAAACACAGAAAAGAAATCTTATCTTTTCCATTTTGTTTGAACAGCAAGTATATTATTTTTTAAACAGCAATTTAGTTAATTTAAAACATAATGCTTGCTTCAGGCTGATGTTATTTTCAGAGCAGGCCAGAAAAAATACTAGTATTTGCAAAAATAGTTACGTGATTTGTGGTGTTTTTTTTTTTGTTTTTTTTTTTTTGTTTTTTTTTTAAGTATTTCATTCTGATTTCACATGAATACCTCCTCAGCTCAATCTAGTAGAAGCTGACTACACCCACATACAACTTCCATCAGCATTACAGAAAATACTGCTACACATCCAAGACAAGCACAGGTCTTATCATAACTGAACAGGGTTGAGATATCAGCCTGATCTTTGCATACATCTATTACACATTTTGAAGAATGCTTTCCATTTGCAGAAGTGATATTTACAGTCTGTAGGTAGCAGATGATGATGGCTTCCATTTTAGTCCTGTTTGCCTTCCCGCCACTGTCGACTGCCTTCACTCCATGCTACATATACAAACATAGCAAGTACCACATGAACAGTGACTACAGCAACTATGGCAGCATAAAAATAGCTGTCTCTGTTGGACATTCCTAAGGTACCTACGAAGATAAAAGAAGGAAAAAACATTAGTTATGAATGCTGAAATACAATATAGCTTTTTTTTTCCCCTCAAAAGACCAAAGATTAATGTACTACTATATGTCAAGATGGAGCTCAAAAAGATACACAGAGAATGCACTACAATAATTAGAGATCTTGAAAGCATTTCTGGAATAAAGCAACCCCACAAAACATTTAAGATTATACATTCTGCTTTTAAAGTCCGCAATACAGAGTTCTGCAACACCCACATTTTCTTTATTACCCTCCAGCATCAAATAAACCTCATCATCCTTTTTTCCAAAGCATAAACCTTTGCAGGGCAGGAAAATAGAGGGAGAAAACAATTACACTGTTTATTTGCCACTGTAAAAGGAAAAATCAGTGGAAAAATAATTACATTTATAGAACTTCTACCTTCTTAGCTTAGATTGTAAAACAACTCCTCATCACTTAAGATGGTATTTCTCACAAGCATTCAAATACCAGAAGACAAAACATCATTTTTCTTCACCAAGAAATAACAAAAATAGCGCACACACACACCACTAATGCATCCTTCCAAACAAGTCCAATCTTATCCATGCTGACAGTTTTGCCATTAAATGCCAACAAAGTTAAGGTTCCGTTTACACTTTGGTAAAAAGAACAACAACTCAATACACTATGAATAAATTTGAAAGTAATTTAGCAAATTTCTCAGCCTTGAGAACTACATACAGCAGTAAGCACAAAAGGAGAAGTATCCTGGAAGACCTTCCAACTTAGTTATAAACTGACAAACTGCTCTTAAAAGCAGCTCACATTTATAAATTCAGGTGTGATTTAAAATGCAGAAAAAATACCACTGAATAACATTACTCTGTCTTGAACACACATTTAATTGGCAACAGCTGCAGGAAGCCCATCCCTGATAAACCTGACACAGCTCTGAGGAAGTGTGCTGTTAAGATGCTCTTTATGTGAGGGGAATACTGCACCTGTATACAATATAAACTACTGTATAACAGTGAATGTTAAACTGCACACCACAGTGCAGGAAAAGATGCACAGAATACATATACAAGTTAGACATAACAGAGCTTTTAGTTTGTATAAATAAACTAACATTCAAAAGAGGAAAGAAAGGTTTCCCTGTTTTTGCAATAGTAATGCTAATTGGTAGAGATGGAATTACCTTCAAATATATAAGCCTTTGATGAAAAATACAGCCCAACAGGCAATGTGATCATTAGAGCTGTGAAGAATAGAAGTGTTCTTAAAGTTGATGTTAATGAACCCTCATTTCTGAAATAAATAAGAAAAGTTACAGATAGAAGGAAGTCACAATATGCACACCTGACACAGGACAAGAACCTGCCTTGAGCAGGAGAAGCAATCCAATTACTTCTCAAAAACCGAGGGCACTGGAAGTGACAAAGACCGAGTAGACATTTGCTAACTGCAACAGAAAACCACAGTACTCAAAAAGATGCAGGAATGGCAGTTAAAGTTCACCAGCAAGGTGAGCAACAGTATTAGATTTTTCTCTTCCTGTTTTGCTAATATTAACAACATAGGTGTGTTATTTTCACATTATTAAATATCTAGTGCTAGATATACATGCATGTGACACACATGATGGTATTTCACAACAAAACTTGCCAAGTTCCCCATTTTCCTCAGAAAAAATAACTACAATTTCAGGCAAATGCCACAGGCTGGGGCACAGAGGGAAGTACAGAATGACTTAACAGTTAGAAATGAAGTTCCTTTTTTAGGTACTGTCCCTCTGTTTAAAATAACTTCTGTTTCCACTAAGAACCTTGGAATAACTGTAGCAGTAACTAGAACATGGAGCTAGAGCACCACAGCATTCATAGCTTTTTTTTTTTTTTGCCTTCCCAGACCTAAACATAAAAGACCTTGAATAGAAGAATCAGGAGAGACTGTGTTGTTGGTAAGGTCTCCCTGGACTTTACCTGCTAGAACAGGTTTTGTATTCACAAAACAACACAGATTTTGTTTCTCTGTGTGTGCTTCTGCCAGTTTTTAATCACTCCACTTCGCTGACTCGATTATTTTATGCAGCAGTGAACGTGTAAGCCAACCAACAACTTCTGGCTTCCAAAGATCACCATAAACAATGACAAGTGTCCTTCAGACCTTAAAGCACAAATCCCTACCAAAGCCAATTCAAGTCAGGGACACACAATTCTTATAATCCCAGACATTTGCAAAGGTTCCAGACATATGGGACAAGCATAGTACTTGAAGTGTTTTACCCTCAATGTTTCTTAGGAAAAGTGGGAATGAAAATCAAGCAAACTCATTCTCTGGCAGTGATAAAAAGACAGTGATGCATAGCCACACAGCTTTTGCACTAAAGCCAGCAGCACTTGTGCTGATTAGGCCACATAACACTGACATACATTCAAGCAGCTTGTCGCTTAAAGAGGAGATGCTCAGAATCTTTTCCCTTCCTACAGCTCAGCCTAAGTTTTCTCTCTGCGAAAAGAATAAACACACTGAAGGTTCCCCATGCCTTTCCAATGGAAACGAGAACCTACTCTCTATTTAGGCTCCCTACCTAGCCCCTAACCATGGGTGTACAAAAGTACGACCACTAGCTTACTCCCCAGGTTAAGAGCGCGGCACCGACAAACACGTTCCTCACAGTGCCACACGCTCGCTGCTCCCTTCACACGAAAAGCAAATGTTTGCCCCACGGAGCTCCTCGCCGTACACCCGCCCCGCTACCCGAGTCCCAGGGCCTGCCAGGGGCACGCAGCACGGCCCTGCTGAGCCCGGGGCCTCCCACACGCCGCTCCCGGAGGCGGCCGCCCCAAGCCAGGGGCACCGACCCGGGGAACGCCTCCCTTCCGGTTCAGGCTCCCAGCCCCCACCACCCCGCCAGGACCCCGTCCGGTCCCGGGCCTTACTGCCGAAACTCGGGCGCGAAAGCCGCGTTCAGCGCCGCCTTGTCGTAGCGCTCCATCACCACCCCCTAGAGCTCCACGCTGCCGCGCTTCCGGTCGCCTGACCGCACTGCCACTGCTTCCGGTCATCTGACCGCGTTACAGCCGCTTCTGGTCACCTGACCGCACACGGCCTGGCTGCCGGAGGGCCATGCGCATGCGCAGAGCTGGCGTCTAGCGCCGCCGTCTCCCTGGCAACCGCGGGCGCGGCCTGCTGACGGAGGCACCGAGCTGCTGCTGGGGACAGCGGGCGGAGAAGAAGCCGTCCAGGTGTCGTCCTTTCCCGGCTGTAAAGTTGCTCAGAATTTTTTTGGAAGGGCCTCGTTGCGTCCTTTCGGCCCTCAAATATGAATTCGTCGCCCAAAGGCTGTAGAAAAATACCTTCTGGTGCTAAAGGAAGAGCTCCTGGTCGTACCCAGAAGGAAACGGCCCCTGCTGTAACTGAGTCGTGCTGCAGTCCGAGCAGCGGGTCTCAATGCTGCAGCACAGCCAGGCCTTCCCAAGATGAAGCCCACGAGCTGCCTGGTGCAGCCGGGCTCCTTGGTTTATCCCCCTGCCAAGGAGGGGATGCACACCCAGCTCTCCGGCAGCAGATGGGTGTCACCACATGCTGTAGCACCGGCCTGATGTGCGGGTACGGAGTTGTTGGTGCTCGCTGAGCAGTTCTGGCAGCAAGGCAGGGTGCTGCAGCCTCCAGACAATGGTCTGTGGAAGCTGTTTAGTTGAACGCTGCTATCTCATCTAGTCTCATACACAGCAGCAATAGGATGTGTGTCCCTTTCATGGTGAGTCCATGTTGCTGTCTTACTGCCCAGCCAAGCCAGATGTGAATCCTGTGAGTCACCGCCTCCGTATGTGACTCTTCTTGTGTTTTCCTGCACACAACCCTCATTTCTGCAGCCCAGTGCTGCTCCTCCTCCCAGCGCCACGCAGTTCATGGCCTGGCACAGCAGCTTCATCCTCTTCTCAAGGCTGTCCTCCAGGCGAGTAGCAGGAGCCAGGCCCCTTGGCCCTTCAGGCTGCTCAGCAGTGTTTGAGCAAACCCCAGCGATGCGCAAAGTCCAGCTCAAATGCAGAAGCAGGATGTGTTTATAGATTTCCTAATGAACAAAAAATGATTTGGCAAAAACATCTGTGCAGAGTTAAGTCAGACAACTGAAAAATGTGAATGTAGGTGCCACCAGCATTTAATCATTAGATACGTAGCGTTCTTTCCACTTCCACTTTGACTTTCCTGTTTATTTCCCTCAAACAGCAGTGACATAAGATAATTTAGCAACAAAACAAGGAAATATAAAAGTAGAATGATTTTACATAAACTTACCCTAGAGATGCTATCAATCATGAAAGGGCAAGTAACTCAAGGCCTTGCAGCCCAAGTCATTTATTTTTAATACAGAGTTACCTTGTATCTCAGCACACCGATTCACTCATTTGCTAGATGAAAAATAGTTTTGCTGAATAATTTCCTGCATGTTTAACTACTTTTCTTTCGTGAGTGCTTAAAGGAAATACAGCACGATTCAAAAGTTTTTTCAACTCTGAAAAAAAAGAGCCTTTTGTTTACATTTTTTCTTTCAGGTCTTTTAAAAGATCAAGAACTTACAAGGTCCTGCCTGAGTTCTTCAGTTTTCATACACTGAGTATTCTAAAATTGCTAGCAGACCATAGACTTTTGGATTATAGAGCAAATAAAAAATTGTCCTGAAGCAGAGATGGTGCTGCAAGCACAAGAAGCTGCAACTAAAGATTGGAAGATTGGTTTATTCTAGCACACGATCCTCCATGACAATCATCAGTGGATGCTTGAAGAGTATAAAACACAAAGCACATACAGAGCGATGTCTTTCCTGGTATGTGGTCTTAGCAAGGTACTGCAAAGAACACTGCCTGATGATGAAGGGCTCCAGCAAATGGCAAAGCAGTGAGAGAGCCTGTTAGCCTGCTAACTCTGGCCACATGTTCCCAAGTGCATTGAGCAACTCCCTTTCTCTCAGCCTCATTTGTGCTGCAGCCCCTCTCTCTGCTCCCTGTGAATCACCTCGCAGTCGGACCACGAAATTAAAAGTAACTCAACAGTGCAAACCATCGTGTGTCTGCAGAACTCAGTACATTTGGGCCCACGTGGAGCAGAGAATGCATTTCAAAAATTGGATGGAGAAGGGATGCTGTGCAGACTGAGCCCTCTGAACTTGCTGGTGTCCAGAGGCTTCATCTCAGGGATGGTGCAGAGCAGCTGGGAAGCGCTGCTGGAGCAATACCATCTAGTGGCAGGTGGAGAAAGAGAGTCCTACATCATGTGCAGAGCTGAAAAAGGGAAGATCTTAAAGGTAGTTTTGTAAAACAGAATCACCTGCTTGTGAGGATGTATGTATATATGTAATATTCAAGGTTTTTTTTTCCTTGATGATTTATCAAACTAGAGCATGTAAGTCAGATGATCAGAACAGGAGATGATATGAGGAAGGAATGATGGTTACGGGAGCCAGAATAGACACAAGTTAGAAGGGCTGATCCTGCAGAAGTGCCAAGTGATCCCCAGGATCCAGATTTTGAACTGACATTTCCCAGCAGCAAACAAACAATGCCGAGTAGAGCCTGCCTTGAGGCTGCTAACCACTTGTTTAGCTGTAGAAATGCTAACTTACACAGTTATGAAGTAGCCCCAGAGGTGCGGATGAAGAAGAGGAGGTGTGAGAGACAGCTTTATTTCAGGTCGTGGTTTGCCATGGTCAGGGGAAGGATGCATGATGTTTGTGACTGGATCTCAAGTGCAGAGGGACAATTCCTATGTAGAGAGCTGGCATTTGTAAGGTGTGATATCATCTTTATTACAGCACCTGATAGATTGAGAACACAAATTGATAATTCTAGGGGCTGTCAATCTCTTTTGCTACATAATAAAGGCTTCTGTGCCAGAAAACTGTCCCTTTTTTCCAGTGATGCCAGTTGATATATGTGAAGATGTTATCTCTTTCTACCAAAGCCTTTCATTTTCTTTAAGTTATTATGGTTCCAGCAGTACTGCAAATACTCTCTATCTGTTTTTGAACTTCTGCACCACAGGAAGAAAGAGATGTTTCTTCCTGATACTCCATTCCAAAAGTCCAACTTCTCAAAGGAAAGCATAGAGCACGTTACAGACTTGGACACCAGCTTTGTGGATTTAGAACCAGACTATCACTAGTGCTGTGGTTTAACAGAGAAACCATATAGATGGGCTTTATAGGAGTATAGTCTCTGTTACAACACTGTTGTCTGTTCCTAGGATAAGTCAGAGTAAAGAGCTATGATATTCTTATTAGCTAATGGAGGTTAGAAGTCTCCCAGCCTGATTTCCACCTCCTGCTATAATTGCTGTCATTTTTCAGAGAAAACATAGGGCTACTGACAGAAATGGCTGCCTTACACACACATTGTGAAATACCTGAGGCAGCTACACTGAGAGTGGGAAAGGCTTCATTCCCACAGCTGATATAAATCAACCCATACTTACCAATTGCAAGTGAAACTGTAGATAATGAACTCAAGTGAAGAGGAAGAAATTCCCTTTGTCTGTTCTGGCAAATGGAATTGATCTTACATGTTACAGGAATTAGGCCAGTATGTGACATTATAGTGCTGCCCAGGTAATATTGACTATGGAATCGAAGTTGTAGATTTGTCTCACAGGTTTGAGGTGTGCTTTTCCAAAATGTAGATGTGCACAAACATACACACACAAAAATACATACACACAAAAACCCACAAAAAAAACTGATACACACAAACTTCCCACTTCTTTTTGGCTTATTGCTAGCTTTAGAAAATAGAAGGGGTCTTTGTGGAAATGGAGAGTTATAGAGGCGATGTTTCTCTTCTACAGGATTAAAAAAAAAAGAAGAAGAAGAAAACAAGAGTCAAACAGCCCAACAGCCCAATCAGGGTGTCAGGCAGCATGGGCAAGTCCTCAGAATATGAAAAACCTCGGAGAGTTCACCATGATAATCTCCAAGCTGCAGACAGACAGGTTTGTCCCTTGGGAGGGCTGCTGTGACATTCAGCACCCAAATTCTGCTGCAGAGCCTGGAAGGGCTGGGTTTGCCACCAGCACCAGGCTTACCTTGGAGCTTAGGGCTGGGTGAAAATCTGTTCACTGACAGTAACTCAATCATGGGAGAAAAAAAAAGAAAAAAAAATCACATCTAACTAATTTCACAGTAGATTATTAGATAAAAATTCACAGTATTGTTTAGCTGAAACAGACTACAAGCTGTTTTCCACCTTTGCCAAAAGGATTTTATCACAACAGGAGATTATTTTTCTAGGTAATCCATATGATTTCCAAGAAAAAAAAGAATCTCCAGCCAAAACTGGGACACTCCAAGTGCCCAGGAAAAAAGCACCAACAACTGGAGACTTTTCTACTCCCATATCCAACCGCAGAGGCATAAAGCAACAGCCCTGCCATCTGTGTTTATCCTGTGTTAGTTTATCTTCACTGTCCGATTCTGCGGGAAATTTCCCTGCTCCTGTACCAGAAAACCAATTAGTGGCAAGGCACAGGCAAAAGCCCTCCCCACCATCATCCCTGTCATTTCTTTGCCAGCTGGCCCTGGAGTCAGTTTATGCTACAGCAGCCAGCACTCTGCAGGCACCCGGCATGCACAGCTGAGCAGCACCAGCTCCCAGCAGGTGACGTAGAAAAGGCTGTGTTTTCTTGCAGCGCTTGCAAGCACCACTGGAAGCAAGATGCTGGCTGGAACAAATACACCCAAGGCAATTCCTTGTACCAGCAGAGCAAGTTTTGAGGTTGGCATGTGCACTACTGGACAGGGCAGGATGAGGCCAGGGCTGGAGCGCACTGGGAACAGTGGGGAAGAGGGATCTGTCAGTGTGAAAAGCAGAGGGTTTTGTGACAAACATTAAATGGAGTCCCGCACTCTACAAACGCAAACAAATTGGAAAAAGCAGCTGTTTCCTGACCTGTTCTAAATATGTGTTTTATAGCCTTGGAAATGTATGTGTGGCTTATGGCTTGAATAATATCTGCTCATAAAAAGGATGTTGTTTTATGCAATGGGAACTCTAAGACTTCATGCCTGTTAGCTCTGCTCATACTGTGCTGCTGTGGGATGACAGC